GGACAAGGACCAGATTCAATCCATGGTATTGAGACAATTGCACAAGATATAACAATGGAACTACGAGCCCTAATCATGAAAAACGACACGACACAACGACGACGATGATGATGATGATGACGATGATAATTACCAAGGGGATGGTGATAATGATGACGATGGTGATGATGACTATGGCCATGGTGATAATGATGGTGATGATGATGACCAAAGCGATGATGGTGATGATGATGACCAAAGCGATGATGATGACAACGATAATGATGCGATGACCATGGTGATGATGATGATGATGACTACGGTGATTATGACGATGATAGCGATGATAATGATGCGATGAAAATGATGATGATCACGATGACGATGATGACGTTTATAATGATGACCATGATGATGACGATGACCATGATGATGGCGAAGATGATGATGATGATGATGACGAAGATGATGATGATGATGATGGCGATGGTGATGATCATGGTGGTGGTGGCAATGACGATGATGCTGAGGATAATGATGACGATAACCATAATAATGATGACGATAAAAATGGCCATGGTGATGATAATGATGATGAGTTAAACAAATTACATCATCTAACACGCCACTTTTTCTGCAGTAGAAAATATTTGTGCTATTTCACGGACAGATCGGAAATAGAATTCACAGCGATTAAACTGGAGAAAATAAATAAGCCATTACAAGGACATTTGGGGGAATGGAAATAACACATTCCACTCCAGAAAAGGCAAGGGGTGTTAGAATGACAGACGAGGAATTCGGAATTCTATAGCAAAGGACAGGGTCATTGTTGATTTCGGCTAGCCAGTAAGACTGGAGAATGAAGTTAGAAAGATGGGGAGAACATGGGGAGAGCTCCATGCAATGGTGAAGGATAGAACGACTTGGGGTGTGTTGGTTGAGGGCCTATGCTCCATTGGGGGATAGAAAGGCAGAAGAAGAAAAAGAAGTAAGAATATCCTCATACTTAGTTAGTGAAAACTGTTTCTGTCAAAATATTACTGGCTGTAATTAATAGGCACTTGAAGACCTATTGATTTCTTTGTTTGTAAAACAGAAAATATTATTTCTGCATTCCCGTGTGCGTTTCGTGGTGTCATTGTCATCATTATCATCGTGTAGCTGGTCCTTTGCAGAACGTCGCTCTCATTACGGTCTGCCTAAAAGAAACCCGGTCTGTCGCCAGTTCTCCCGCCTCGCGTACCCTCATATTCAACGAGTCACTAACATCCTGTGCCCATCTTCGTGTTGGTCGGCCTCTTCCCCTCCTTCCTGGTGCCATGCCTTCTGCTATTATTTTTTTTTTCCAATCCGCCTGGGCGCCTGATATGATCAAAATATTTCAGCCCATGAGACAAAATGATGTTTATCAGCCAATCTTCCTTGATGTTCGGGTATGTTAAAATGACAGTATTTCGTCTCTTCTTTGTCCACGATACTCTGAGAATGTTTCTGTTGCATTTTAGCTGAAAAGCAAATTTTTTTTTCTTCTAAATGACTGGGAGAAAAGACGCATGCTCTGAAATTTTTACTTTTGATTTCCTTGCTGGTGCTTAGCCATAGCCTTTTAATGATGTTTACCTTCCATAACGAGTTTGTTGGGATAATAATGTTGTAGTTTCTCCTTGCTTTCCACATCCACATGGTTTTAGACTACGTCCTCAGCCTTCAGCAACCTTTAAGATTGCCAGGGCAAGTGTGATACTCGTGCTAACAGACGACAACATCCCTGCTGTCCACTTATCGCGGTAGATGCTCAGTCCCCATAGCTGCGTTTGCCGCACCGCCGTGTGCTTACCATCATCTACCGCATGGAGGCGCAGTTGGGGGTTCCCCCTTGGCGGAGTCTTGAGACCAGAATGGCACTCCCAAACTCTCCAGTACTTTTAGAGGGCGCCATTGTTAGGGGGGGGGGGGGGGGGGGGGGGACAAAATTCACTACCTTTCTAACAAGCATGTGGTACGAGTCGCCTGATTAGGGGTTACATACGAAGGTGGAGTGTATCAGCATGAGAGGCAAGTACCAAACAGTCACATACAAATGAGCCGGATCTATAAAGGAGATGTACAGGCAAAACTGAGTTCTGACGAAGTTTACAACCGATGAACACAAAAAGGACCATTTCTGCAGTTAGATACAGTTAAATGCTTATCCTTTACAGAACGTTGCAGAACCAACTCCAGCATTTATTAGCTGTTGTAGTTTTTCTAGGCAAGTGTTACGTTCAGTAGTTTGCCATTGCTTCCTGAAGGGTCAGCGCTAGGTACCATTGTCGAAACCAGCGCAAGATAAATCGGCATTAGGAAGCGCGTTCGCAACGCCTAAGTCACAGACGCCGACCTGCAGATAGTGGGAGCTTGAAAAATGATATCGCAAGTATAGCCGAACAATCTGTATTAAATTTTGTTTTTAACCTGCTTTGTAAGTTGCAGTCAAACTTCAGATGTAGATGAATGTTCTTCCTCGCGTTTACCGGCTGTAAACTGCGGTGGAAAGTTCTGGTTGTTTGTCCACCTCTGGACTTTAGTCTTGTTCCAGAACCTGAGTGTTCTATGTGTACCAGTTTAACAGGTTCGACTTAATTGTATGCAGATTGTTGCTGTCTTGCCTCTCAGGCAGATGCACTATGACTTAAAAGAAAGCCTCCCAATTAGTCGTCTCTTACGACATGCGTGTTGGGGAGGCAGTGGGTCTATTCTTGTTTTCCCTACAATGGGGACTTGGAACCCACACGGAGAAGCTGAATGGTGAATTTTGAATACAGAATTGATATGATAGCGCTCGAGACACCTCCATAGGCGCTCAGCCCCCATCTTCAGCAGCATATGAAGAGTTCTACTTTCTATGGCACCAGTAACTGGATGATTGTATATCCGTCTTGACTATCCCTTAAGTGTTGAGCGTCGGCCAGAAACCCTGGTAACTCCTAGCATATGACCCTCACAACATCTAGCTTGTCATACATCAGTTTACCACTAAGTGGTGCAGAACCGGCCAGTCGATCTGCCTGCCCGTTTCCCAACACATCGGCATATCCTAGAGAAAATATCCAAAGGACGATAACTACCCATGACCTTTAAAGCAATCCTTGCCACTCTACACGGAACATGCCTGTCCCCACCTTTCTCAACATGCTCTGAGATTCAGTTACAATTAAGACACATGTATGCAGCTGATTCTCAAGCCAACGAAAGGCTGCAATGATTTCCTTCCCCCCCCCCCCCCCCCCGCTTGATTCCCTTCAGATGTTTTGGGTATATAGGGCTTGACCTATATTTTATAGACTAATCGGCACTTGATGGGTGATGTGGTCAACACCGCGCCAACCGCCTTTACTTCCCAGGACTTGTACCTGGCACCCACTGAAGGAATACCTGGAAGAGAAGGTCATTTTTGAAAAAAGTCCGTCTGGGTCAGAAACCAAACGCACGACCTTCCCATCCGCAGTCGTGCTTCTAGTCGCTGCAACCACATAACACTAATAATATTAATAATTCATACTACTGCGTACTTAAATAAGGTATATTCGCCTGGAGCTGAGGTTCTCAACGTGTGAGCCGAACGGCCCTTTCACATGGGTCGCCAAAGACCATCGGAAGACACATTTTCACTGAAGCTGTTGAGTAGCAACGATAATAAGTGAATGATTACTGCTTGCCATACATGAGAACATGAGGAATTGTATTAAAGGTCTCGGCATTAGAAAGGCTGACAACTACTGCACTAGAGCAATGCGGATTAATCCCTTCAGAGGAGCGATACCAGTTATGTCTGTGAGATAATTTCTTCCAATATATTTTGATTACATCGTTATGTATACCCCTGGTGTTTTAAAAATATTTCTATAAAACTTCATGAAATGCAGGCCTACCCTGGCAAAATAATAGGCAGCTGGACTATAGAGCCTGTCTTGTAGTTCGAAGTACAGAAAATGTCTTTCCTCATGACCTGTGTAAAAAAAAAATATTCTCAGTAAAAAAACAAAAAAAATTGTGAGTAATAGTAACTTGGAAAGGTGTAAATGACCCTTTTCCCGATGCCGTTTATTATCAGTTCAATTCAGTTCAATTTTGACCATGACCACGTTCAACCTAGGGTCAGAGAGGGTTGCTGCCTCTTCGCCCTTAGCGGTTATATTTGTGGTGACGGATCAGGCTGTTATTTGATCAGGTCATATTTTTGCGTTTCATGATTTTTGTGAATTGGAATGAAAACGGCAATGCAAGACATCACAGAAACCAAACAACAGAGTGGGACACACCCGTAACCTTCAGGAAAGTCGACCAGCCCAACAAACTTGTGAATAGAAAGTGACCTACTCTATTTGAGGAGACTGACGTCGGACTAACCGGGAAGAGCACCAATATTTTTTTCAATTTATTTCTTGGTCAGCCTCTTGACTTGAAAGTTGTTGTTTCATTCTGACTTGATGACCAAACCATTTTATAAAACAGTCGTTAAAACAAAGAAAGAATCAAACAGTTGAGCTGAGTTGAGTCAAGAATTGACATCACAGCACTTGTGGCATTCCCATGCATGCTCCGTCCTCATTTTCAGCAGCCAGCGCAGAGTTCCAATACTGATGGTACCGGTCACAATCTGGTTATATGTCCGTCTTGCCTTTCCTCTGAGTGTAGTGAGCCGACCAGACCCTCCGTTTACACCCAGGTGCCTCATTATCTCCAGGCCATAATAATATTTTTTTTCTCTACTGATTCCGTTGCTTGTTCCCAAAGGGCCTTGACCACATCTACCTTGTCATGTATTAATTCACCACGCAGTGGTAGGAAGAATCAAACAAACAAGAACAACGAAGCTGCTTACATGTGCCGATCAATCCAAGAATGACCATAAAGGGGTACATCACACTGCTCATGAACATTATGGAGAACCAGTCTCGTATCGACTGGTCGTCGTACTTCAAGTCAATGTAGACCAGGCCCAGTAGAAGGGACATCATCAGGGCTTGAATCATGTGGGTGAGCAGCACAACGTAATTATCCGCCTTGATTCGGACGAATCGCCTGGTAATTACAAAAGTCATAATTAATACAGATAAACTTACTTCTTACAACGGCGACCAGGTCGTATTTTGTTCGCCGCTAGACGACGTCGTCACCAGTCTGGACAGTATTTGAGTCTATATCCTTTGATCGCATCATGCAGAAGTCATTTTCAGGGTTTGTTGTGGCGTACAAGGCTAAGCCCATTGTATATGGCGCAAAAAACCTAGTCCTAATTATAATCTAAAGCTTCCCCTTTGGGGATGCTGTTTGATCGAGACGACCCCCCTCTCCCCCCCCCCTTTTCCAGCAAATCATCTTCTTATTTTACTCCCCTATGGGTTTTGGGGCACCATTTTCGACAAACCAATAGACTTATGACCAGATCTGAAAAACGGATGCGCACGCAAAACTTGGGTTCTAGAACAGGACCAAAGTCCAGATGTGGACGAACGACGAGAGTTTTCCGGAGTTTAAAGCAAGTGAACTCAAAGGGAGAAAGTTGAGCTTAAAACTCGAATATAGGCAACTTAGTCTTCGGGCTGATTAGGTTTTTTTTTTTTTTTTTTTTTTTTTTTTTTTGAAATGTTAGATTTACGTCATTTTGGCACTGTCATTTTGTTTTTAATTATTTTTTTAAACCAGTTCGACAGTTTCTCTTATCTTGTTCACTGTATTATAAAATCCTTACCAACGTTTCCTCCCTTCACTGTTTGTGACCTGTTTTTCCTTCAGGATTGCAGTCTGTAGAACAACATCTCAAGAGTAGGAATCAAACTGATATACTCTTGAGAAACCACGTTAATTCATACAGCCATACAGCACAGTTATACTGGGGCAGCGGTAGTATCTAGCCAACGTCGTCTCTAATTGACCTGTTTGGCCTATAAATAGAGAAGGCCGTGTTAACTACTTAGAAGCTCGGCTCGCTAGCTTAGTTAGTTAAACCTAACTACGCAGCGACCTGGTAACAAACTCCTTGTGGTTCGGGTTCAAGCCCGGGGTAGACAGAAAAACCACATTTCTCCCAGATTTACGGTATCTATTATGGAATCAAGGCTGAAATTTGCGATATACATAGTACTATAATTGCAGTTTCTTAGGTAGTGTAGCCAGTTAGCTGAATTTGCATCTCTCGTACTAGTCTCCGTGATATTATGGATGTCAAAAATTCTCGTAGTAGCCGGGATTGGAAAAGGCAATCAATACATTCTTATCCTCAAGAGGAAAAGGCAGTCAATATATTCCCAGCCTAGAGGAGGGGGGGGGGGTCAATATATTCCCAACCTGGAGGGGGGGGGGGGGGGGGAAGTCAATATATTCCTATCCTCTAGGGGAAAAAAGCAAGCAATATAATCCCAGCCTGGAGGGTAAAAGGCAGTCAATATATTACAAGCCTAGAGTGATAAACAGTCAATATATTCCCAGGCTGGAGGGTAAAACAGTCAATATATTCCTAGCCTAGAGGGATAAACAGTCAATATATTCCTAGCCTGGAGGGTAAAACAGTCAATATATTCCTAGCCTGGAGGGTCAAACAGTCAATATATTCCTAGCCTGGAGGGATAAACAGTCAATATATTCCTAGCCTGGAGGGTAAAACAGTCAATATATTCCCAGCCTGGAGGGTAAAACAGTCAATATATTCCTAGCCTGGAGGGTAAAACAGTCAGTATATTCCCAGCCTGGAGGGGGGAAAGGCAGTCAATGTATTACAAGCCTTGGGGGGAAAACAGTCAATATATTCCTAGCCTGGAGGGGGGAAAGGCAGTCAATGTATTACAAGCCTTGGGGGTAAAACAGTCAATATATTCCTAGCCTGGAGGGGGGAAAGGCAGTCAATGTATTACAAGCCTTGGGGGTAAAACAGTCAATATATTCCCAGCCTGGAGGGGGGAAAGGCAGTCAATGTATTACAAGCCTTGGGGGAAAAACAGTCAATATATTCCCAGGCTGGAGGGGAAAACAGTCAATATATTCCCAGCCTAGAGGGGAAAATGCAAGCAATAAATTTCCAGCCTGGACGGTGGGGGGGGGGGGGGCTAAGGCAGTCAATGTATTTCCCGTCTAGATTTATCTTGACAACAGTAAATCCGACTAGTAAACTAAAAACTTTAATTAACTGGTGTCTGCACAGAATAAAGCAAAACATATGGTATGATAGAATCACTATTGTTGACCTATAGGAGAGAACTAAACAACTCCAGTGATTTAAGAAATGAAGACGAGACGCTGGCGTTGGATAGGACACACGTTGAGAAAACCTGAGAAATAAAAAAAAAACTATAATGTCTTTACACTGGAACTCACATGGGCATGTAGATAAAGGAAGCCCAAAAACAATAACAGAAAGGAGCTAAAGAAGGTAGCTAAAAATATAATAGGAAGTTGGGGGGGGGGGGAGTGGGGCGCACCTTTACCTTTTAAGTACTTAGAGACCCGGCTCGCTAGCCTAGTTAGTAAAACCTGACTGCGCGGTGACTGGGTGACGAACTCCCTGGGGTCCGGGTTCACGCCCGGGGGTTGGCAGAAAAACCACATTTCTCCCAGATTTACGGTATCTATCATGGAATGAATCAAGGCCGAAGGGTTGCGATATCTATAGTACCGAGCCAAAAGGTTAACAATTCATGGTTTTTTTTTTTTTTTTTTGGATATTGAAAAAAAAGGACTTAGGGCATCAAAAGGTCTTAATCTGGCTTTGCCTGGCAAACACTGGACTACAGGCTACCTCGTAACCATTTTATAGTGCCTCAAAATAACTGCTTTATGGATATAAAATGTACATCATTTTGAATAATGGGAAGACAGAAGTAATTGTGATTTCCCAGAGAAGAATAGTGCATAAATGTATAATAAGAGTCGAAGGCATTAATGTAGGACGAGTACAGAAATTTAAGTATCTGGCCACATGGATAACATCTGACGGAAGATGTATCACAAAGATACAGAACAGAATAGAACAGGCCAAAGCTGCATGAAAAAAATTGTGTGCAATAAATCCATGCCATTGGAGATTAGGAAAAGAATTCTCGTAAGCTTTATAGAGCCAGTTTTAAAATACGGCTGTGAATCCTGGACAATTAATGAAAAGCCGAACAATATTTTGAGGCCTCGGAAATGTGGTTTTACAGAAGAATCCCTAGAATTCTTTGGACAGCTAAGAAGAGTAAACCAGATGTTTTGAAAGAGTAGATGCTCGAAGATAACTTATCACAAACATAATTTGGGTTTTGTGGGGGGGGGGGGGGAATCATGTTATGAGAAGAGGGAAAGTGGAACAGGTTGTGACCACTGAAAAGATTTGTGGAAGGATGGACAGAGGAAGACAGCGTGAGAAGATTCTTAACAGCTTTTTGTCATGGCATGGAGGTGTATCAACACGCAGTAGCGAATTGCAGATTGTGGTGAGGCATGATCGCCCACGCCATTCGGCAAGGCACTTGGGAATAATACGGCTATACGTTTGAACAGGGTTCCCTTGATTTTGCACCTGTTTGATTCTCAGCCTTGATGCGTTAGTCTTCCAGACGGCAATAGTGAAAAAAGAAAAAGTGGAAGCAAAGGACAATGGTACAAGAAGCGGTTTGGCGGAAACACACGAGTTGACATACATGAACAGAATGTAGAACTGGGTCATCAATGTTGGCCCTAGTCTGTGCTCTTCGACAGCGTGCTCAACCGACCAGGAGCTGGTCATCTTGTTTGTCTTGGTGAGAGGCGCTGGCGCCCTAGCCTGCGAAGAATACACGTAGAGACATGTTAAAGAAGGGGTTGATATGAAATACAGGGTGTTAACAGTTTTTAAACAATTGCAGGGGCATGGTGTCCGCCTTGAGTGATAGAGTTTCCGGGTTCAATCAAGGGCTGGCATTTTTTTCACGTGAACTTGGACTTCTAGTTATTTCCCCTGGTGACTGGGTAGTGAGATCGGACGCCCGTATGCATTGTTGCGCACGTAAACAATCCCTTGACAGTTGGAAATCGAAAAGAGTAGCCTAACAGCGCTGCCCGGGCAAAATTTGGAGTAAAAAATCTACCCACTGAGGTATTAATTTTTCTAATAAATTATTATTTCTTTGACACATCAAAAAAAAAGAATTATCAGCCTTCAGATGTAATATAAAGGTACCTAGCGGGCAACACATACGCATGTATGCACACTCACAAACACGCGCATACACATATAAACAGTGGGGACATAAACTTTCATGTGTGCGTGTGTGTTTACTTATATATGTATGTGTCTGTGTTAAAATATATTGGTAGTGACCGATGTATATAAAAGTAGAGAAAGACAATACACATTAGTAGAAATATGTGTTAGAATGTTTACATTCACAAGCACACTTAAGTAGAACTTGGTATGCTTCCTGTTTGGAGGCGAAAAATATCTGCTTTGTATACCACCTATCTTGGCTTCCGGGTTGTGATGCTGACCGCATCACTCATCTTGTACCGTTGGTCTATAAAATATAGGTCTAGCCCTATATGCCCTATACGCCTAAGGGCGTGGAAAAGGGTCCTTTACTTTACTTTTTTACTTATACCACACGTTTGGAATGCACCTCACGTGCTAGAACGTGTGAGCCTTAGCCAGGTCCAAGTAGAGAAAGGATGCAAAAAACACACACACACCAGATTTTCCGATTCCTGACATTTTAGTGGAAGAGGAATCTCCTCTCAAACAATATCTCAGTCTCCCAGCTCTCATTATTTTTCTAGTAGACAATCTACTTTTCTCACCAAGGCAGCGTGAGGCTAAATTGTTAATTCTAATTTCTTGTTTTGTTGCTGTGGGCTTCCTTTCTTATTACTCAGTGTTTAAATTATTTTCTACAATTTCGTCACTGTATAATATGCCAGAAACAATATGATTTTTTTTTTCTCCATTGGAACGGATTATTTTTTTTTTACTTTATTTCTAATGGACACAATCTTTTGATATAAATCCTTTTTGTTATGCGTACTATTTGGTATACATCCTGTTTGGTATACGTCCTGTTTGGTATAGTACTATGTAGTATACGTCCTGTTTAGTATACATTCTGTTTGGTAAACGACCTGTTTGGTATAGTCCTGTTTGGTATACGTCATGTATGGTATACGTCCTGTTTTGTTTACATACTATTTAGTATACATCCTGTTTGGTATACGTTCTGTTTGGTATATGTCCTGTTCAGTATACATACTATTTATTTAACATCCTGCTTGGTTAACGTCCTGTTTTGCATACATACTATGTAGTATACATCCTGTTTGGTATACGTCCTGTTTGGTATACGTCATATTTGGTATACGTCCTGTTTGGTTTACGTCCTGTTTGGTATACGTACTATTTAGTATACGTCCTGTCTGGTATACGTCCTGTTTGGTATACGTACTCTTTTATAAACGCACAAGGATCTGGAATAGATTTAGGACTCAACCCAAGCTTGCTTACTAAAACTTTTATCACAATATCACCCTTAAAGAACTTCACCTTTATATCTTGAGAAGCTCCACCAGTGTTGGTCTTCTCGAAGACCTGCATGGCCTCTGCTGTGACCCTGTAAGCTTCATGCAGTGCAGTGACGATCGCCAGGCTCGACTCCTCTCTGTCCTTGCTCGTTGTGTCCACGGTAGCCAGATCAACTGCAGATATTAATACTGCGTTAGTGGCGCGTTGAGTTCGGTCACAGGCTTCAGGAAAAGTTAAGTCTGATGTGATGTGTATAAGGAGATACTCCGGGCCCCAGTCCTTCACTTGTATGGTTTTACGTAACCTCATGCAAGACTCCTGCTGCACGTCCCCGACGTGCGCCACGGATAATGTCTCAAATGAGCATTAACAGAGCTGTCGGGGGATCTCGGAGTTGGCGGCCCCCAGAGGTGTAGTGTCCTTTCTGGCTCTCACAGCCCGCCCCCAAACGCATGGGTGAAAAGTGTATCAAAACTCATTCGGAACATGAGTAAAGTCTGCTTGCCAAATGTACCACCTAATGACAACTTTCGGTTAAAAGTCTGTGGAGCGAATGGAAAACTGTGCTGCTGAGACTCAACCCTTGAACAAGAGTTTTACCCGCAGCCAAGACGAGTAACATCTGTTGTGGGCGGTTTCTCGCAGCAAGATCCTACCTACGTACATCCTCTGTCAATCCTCAGCGTCGTCGTCACCGCGCTGAGGTACACCACGACAGGAACTTTTCATCTGCTGGCTAGGTAATAATGTCCAACAAAGTTAGATCCTACGGCACACAAGCAAGCTCAAAGTCCAAATGTCCATATACACTGGCCCCACTCGCCCGAGTGTTGGGACCAAACAGGTGAAGCCACGCCTGACGCATGCTTCCCCATTCTGTCGTGCTAAGGGCACAGTTAAAATAACGTTAAAGGTGTCTAACGTGCGATGAAGAAGAATGTAACTATTTGTGTGGCCACACAAGTCCTGGACCTGCGGGCTGCTTCCCGCTAATCTCCGGAGGGCGCAGCCTGGTCGCGCGGAAGCTCAATACACGGTTGTGAGGTTAAGCCGTCATGTGCAGGACGTGACGATTCCAGGGGTGAGCCTAGAATCAGAGCGTCATGTGTCGGCTTTGCATTTATGGAAGCCTTCTTGGATGGCGGGTAATGCCAACGATCTGCCCTTGCCTTCCCTTGAGGGCTGACCATTCTACCTAGGGTTGCCCTAAGGGATTGGGGGGGGGGCGGGGGGGGGGGGTTCTCCGGGAGCCACACATGTAAAGAGTCAAAAAGGACACTACACAAATGAGGCAACATCTCGACCCACACAAAACAATGGCCACAGTCATCCTAGAGATAGGCTTGACTTCTTCCCTCGAAGTCGGAGTACATCTGCCGGAGAGGCAGAGAACGAGAACTGCAAACAAATTAGCCAATAAAATTCAGATCCAGGTAAAAGCCAAAAGTCCAATTGGACGAACAACCGGGACTTTCCACCGGAATTCACAGCCGGTGAACAAAAAAAAAAAGATACTGCGTTAATTTGGTTTAATTTGCTTTGCTAAAAAAGAAATCGTCACGTTTAACCAGCATCGCGAGGGGGGGTGTGGGGGGGGGGGGATTTAGGTTATACTAGTGACTAGGCTATGGGTGCCATAGCATTGCTCGCCACCAAGTAGCCCTGAAAAGGTATCTTGGAATGTTGATGCAATCAAAGGAGACGTTCCCAAATACTGTCCCGACTGTCGACGAAATAGTCTACCGGCAAGCCAATAGGCGACCCAGTCGCCGTTAAATCTCAGCTCTAAACAGAATATTACCCGTGTGCGCCAGTCAACACGGTTTGTTTAAAAAAATATTTCTACATCACGATTTTAGTCTGACCAAAAAAAAAAAAAAAAATCAACGCAACCGCACGTCAGCCACAGTGTGCTGTGTATTTGGGCCCTGTGGATGTCGTATGCCCATGCTTTTGTTGTCATCATTTTTGCTTCAGTCGGGCATCAGCTATGATCTGGTGAGACTGAAAGAGTTAAGAAAGCAGTTTTTTTGTGTGTTTATATTTCGTTAACTGATTACGTGTACAGAGTTCTGTCTTTTAACCCCAACGGAACAGAGGCCCTCAATCACCTCGCGCCAGTTTGTCCCATCTCTTGCAAATGCATAGAAATCACATCAAGCCGTCTTATTCCTTACCACTGCCATTAGCTCACCTCCATGTTCCTCCCATCCTTTTCTTCCCCTTACTCTCTCATTTTCCTTTCTATGTGTTTTAATCTGCGTTTATTTCTATGACCATGTGGGTTCCAGTGAAAAGACATACTAGTTGTACTGTTCTCATATGCGGAATTGAAGGATTCAAATGTAATGACAGAATCAGCAAAATATAACTCGTGGTGACAACTGTACAAATTAATGTGATTCAATATATGGGGATGATACGCACTGTGACGACACTCTCGGTGACTTCAGAATGTCTTTCCTCAACTTACTTTTATTTTTATGTATTTTAAAGTATATGGAAAAATATAGTTTTGGATACATCCCTAATCTAAGTAAGGCGACCCGATCAAACATTTAATTCTCCTGGACTGTTGTTGATAGCAAACACTGAGACTCTTTCCCAGATGTAAAGTGTTAAGGTATAGAGATAAGACTGACCAAGCTCAGAGTTCGTGGCTGAGATTTTGCTTGCCAAAACTTAGATGCCTGATAATTATCTTCTAGCCAGACCTTTAGGAGCCGATAACTCAGGCTAATTGCCATTATCTCCCCCTGAGGTTACCAAACTTTAGTGCAGGCCAGATCGCTAAAATTGACATGGTCTGGTGGAGTTATTAGCAAACAACCTGGCAGGTTGAAGTAGGCTGGAGGTGTGACTGGAGGTGTTTATTAGCTCTGGTCAACTTGATGGACGAGGAGAATGTGACCGTGGGAAAGCAAACAAGTGTTGTACAGTCTTGACTGACAGTTAATAGACTTACCCACGGGGTGGGGCTGTGACATCCTTGAATGAGCGTGGTGTTAGGAGTAATGTAGGAGGAGCTTAGGAGAAGTTATAAAAGGGTGATTTTAGGACTTGTAAAGGAGACTCTGCCATTAGCGCATGCCATCTGTTGGGCTAAAAACCTAAGCTTGAGACAGAACTTTTGGCATTGTGTTTTCATTCTCCAGGAAAGGCAAACTAGTTTGAAAACCTGTATTTTGTGTAGAAATCTAACTGTCTTTTTGCTCAAGTGTGTGTCTTCATCACTTTGTTGTACTCCTAGGCGGACATTTCTCCATTCTCGTAGGGCACTGTCACATTGCTTTATATCCTAATTGATAGTGTCATGAATGATTGTGTGTGTGTGTGCGCACATGTTGATGTTACCATTGAAATTTAATGAACTATTATGGTTTTGAAACCACAAGCGTGAAGATAACTTTGGCAGTCTTGTCACGTGTGGTTAATGTGAATCTGTATTACATACAGCTAACACACTGAAATGTGTTTAACTCCTGGGAGGCTAATGCGGAGATTGATCCCGGAGAGTAAATCCCTGGAGATTTGTTCTTTGATTCGCCCCAGAAATATTGTTAGCATTTTGGGCGCGTCCATTGTTCCAAGCATTGATTCCAGAACTTGTTCTGCCTAACTGATTGTCATTTTGAGTCTGTGCGAGAGATGACATCTGACATAGAAGACTTGACTATCATTACAGGACGTGAGTAGAGGAAGGCAGGAAATGTAACGGCTTGAATGTGAGACATAAGCCCTTCCAAACTGGACAGGAGTAAATGTGAAAATGAGGGAGAGATAAAATGTTTTCTTTAAATTAACATGTTTGATGTTATTATAATATACATGCTTAGTGTACATCTATATTAGATACTACACATGTGCGCTTGTTTCTTTATCACAGTTCCCACATTGGGCAGGGACTAGTAGGCATCCATACCTTGCCGACTGTCTGGGTGTAACGACCTGCTTGAAAGCAGTGAGGACGACAAACTGGAAAAGAATAGGCAGGGTCTCAAGCTGAGAACTGTCCAAAGGTTTACTTTCTCCATCTTAAAAGTTATGTATAACTTTAATGTCACCAATAACACCATCTCAACTCTACTAGCCTAAACAAGTTCATTTTAATTTTGGTTAGATTTATTCAATAAATCTTGTTCATGTTGTTATAAAATAGTTGAGTAAATTATGTACTTAAGTTCAAGTGTCTTTGTGCATCCTAGTTTATTTCAGCTCACAAATATTTAAATCACTTGATAAGGGCTTTTAAGTAATGCCAGGAGAGGAGAAAAGTCGGAGGGGTTAACTGAGTATCCTGATATTATCTCAGAGGGTTCATCTTGATCTCTATCTATCCCTTCTCCTACTCCTGTGGATACAAGTACAGCAACTTTCATTTTATGGAACGAGCCACTCGCTGTTTTCTTGGCTATCCAGGACTGTCTAGGATCAACATAGCATAGATTTTAGTCCAGTTTCTCACGTGGGTGAGCACTGTTAAGATTCACACCCACACCCTCACTATATCAGTATATTTACCCATGTGTTAATAGTTAGCATGCTAGGCTGTTATACCAGAGATGGGGTTTGATACTCGATAAGGGGATCGCGGTTTTGTGTTGTTGTTTCGGGGAGGGAAAGGGTAGTAATGTACAGAAATGCATTGTCATACTATGAACCTACGTTAATGTAAAGCAATCTGCCATCTCATTCTGTGTCTTTAGGGCTCGAGCTTTCTGCGTGGGCCATGTTCCGTAACTTATGCAGAAGTAGGATCTGTGCTACATTTGTCTCCTCTTGAATTTCCAACCTATCGATGCACTTTGTTGCTAACATTGTTTCTGCTTCTGAGTGGCTGTGTGAAGGTTTTTGATTACAACTGGCCCTTTCTTTTTAGACGTCCACGGATAACAGAAAATTACGCTTGAGGGGGCAGCACTAGCAGGGATTCAGTAGCGTTAAAAGAAAAAAAATCATAAAAAATTCATGTTTCTTTTTGTTCTTTGCGTTCACCGCCAGTGAATTCCGGTGCTATCTCAAAAATTGGGTGAATTCCGGTGCTATCTCAAAAATTGGGTGAATTCCGGTGCTATCTCAAAAATTATACATGAAAAAAAAATAGAAATTCCAATTCAACGATATGACCCTCAAACTTTGAATGACGGGGTAATGGAAGCTTTACTTATCTTTTACACTTACTGTAAAAGTCGCACGGATTGGTGTGCTCTGGGCAGGGAAACCCCAGTGTTGTGAAATACCCAACAATATCCTTGCCGGGTCCGTTGTAGACGATACGTCCTCGGGATAAAATCATCAGCGTATCCACCATGTTGAATATATCAAACCTATTCAGGAATACATTCAATAGAATAGGTCTTTATTCACAGATGCGTAGCAAGAGAGCAGATATTAGAGATACATTTTTTCTTTTTATTCTTCTAAGTTCGCCCTTAAAAGTGTGGTTGGCTTGTTGCTTTGAGGTTTACAGATAGGTTGCGATACTTGCGACTTTTGGTCTGATAATTGCAATTTCAGCAAAACCATAATTAGTCACCTCTGTTGACTTGCTTTTTTAGGGGTCATTAGGTCAGCGTTTCCAAAAACTGAGGCCCCGAAATCCATGGGGTGGGGGGGGGGTGAGTGGAGGGCCATATTATGCTATGTTTTCTTCTTTGTTTTCAACAGTTCCGCCGAAAAGTTCTGGCGGCTTTTCCCTTTCTGGACTGTAGTCTTGTTACAGAATCTGAAGTTTACATGCAGATCCTTTTGACAGATCTGGTGTATTTGTATGCAGAGTATTGGTCCCTCGCCTCTCAAGCAGATGCACTCCGACTTCGAAGAAAACACACACACAATTAGTCGACTTTTACGTCACGCTTGTCAGGGGCAGTGCTTCTATTTTTTTTTTTTATTTTTTTTTTTTTTTTGTGCTCCCGTAATGAGGCCCTGGAACCAAAAAAAATGGAAAATCTATACTATAAATCTTTCTTATTTCGTGCGTTTATTATAAATGAACTGTGTGTGTCTTCCCAAACCGTGACCAATACACGGGTTTCATTTCCATTTACCATTATGACTACAACGTTTAATTTAACAGTCAACTGGCTGCCCAGGTTAGTGTGAATTTCTTTATTTATTGTGACAATCAGTAAAATTAAACTTTCACTGGAGTTATATCCTATAGACTATTTGGTTCTTTCTGAATAGCCGACCACAAACAGGGGAAATCCACAGGTCACGAGACAGTTCATTACTTCAGGGGGTGGTAGATTAGGCATATAGTTTCGTAATTTGGCATTTCATTTGCTGTGCAGTTTTGTGCTGTGCAGTTTTGTGCTGTGCAGTTTTGTGCTGTACAGTTTTGTGCTGTGCAGTTTTGTGCTGTGCAGTTTAGTGCTGTGCAGTTTTCAGTTTTGTGTGCTGTACAGTTTTTTGCTGTGCATTTATTTTAGGGAGAGAATTGTTACTTTAACTAGCGCGCAGGTGCTTTCCAACCTCTGCACTGCTAATACATGTCCCCCCCCCCCCCTCCCCCCAGACTTCTTTGGTGCAGGTGCCGTTGTTTATTATTAAGGCTAAATATTCAAAACTTAGTGAGATTTTCAATCTTTTTGCTGTCAAATTAACCAATGTGGTTAAGGACGTTATGAATAGAACACAGTGCTCCCATTCGATAGACCCCGGTTCGGGTGCCCTGTAAGAAGGTTGATTTGTTTTTTGTTTTTGTTAGATCAAAACTAAAATCCAGTTCATGATTGCTCTTTTGTCTGTACGGCCATAAATGTCTAGGGTCACGAACTTCCTGCACTACAAAATTGTTTCATATATAGGCAGTAAAAACAACAAAGTGGTCTGAACATTAAGGAAAAATTGGCTCATACAGATCATCTTGTCTCAGAAACTGAAATACTTTGGCGGTATGAAGGGTAAGATGGGTAGATGTCTACCTCCAGAACATAAGGGACACATTGGGCAGGATAGGGCAATAGCCGGCAGAGCTGGAATAAGCCTTTTTTTTTTTTTTTTTAGGTGTTCTGTGATAGGACCAACGCTCTGTAAAGAACCTGCTACATGATGACGAAAAACAGCACGCACGTGGATCTACACTATACACATATCTGTGAGTACATATATAGTTACGAACGTGTAAGTATAGCAGATCTTCATATTTCAGTTAGTAAATATACAATACAACATTTGTCTTTCCTGAAAAACAAGGACGAGGGGACGCTGAAAAGAAACTCTAACACGAACGCTATAAAGAGGTCAAAGGTGCTGAACTGGATCTCATTTATTATATCAAAGGGTTTGCATAGAATAGAACTGAACGGGGGAATGGACTGTGAGCCCAATGTGATATATAATGGTACAAAAGGACAGATATGATTTCCTACCTAGGCTGGTGTATAGACATGATTATCGTCCTTTTCTTAACGACAAGACGAGACAGGGTCTGTACCAAGTTACTGGCTGTGAAAGAATCCAGACCGGATGTAGGCTCATCCAGGAAGAGAATACCTGAAAGACAAAACCGAACACTGTAGTTATAATCGTGATTCTGTCGAACTGATACAGATATCTTTTCAGATAAACTGGCTGGCTCTGCACCACTTGGTGATCCTGGTAGGTAAAGTACATCCGTACTGGTTTCGGGGCACCGTTCTGCACATCCAAAAGACATCTAGACCTGTCAGCCATTTTTAAGCCAGTTTCATGTATTTCCTGTCACATCTCTTACAGCTGATGGCGTAAATAACACTGCGGCTTGTGCGATGGAATGCCTCCTGTATGTGGGAGGTCGTTCAGTTTGAGGAGGAGAAGTTTAAGGGAGGAGGGAAGGGGCGCTGTTCCAAAAAAAGCATGTCCTACAAGACACACACACAAAAACCAACAGGATTGATGAAACTGGCGTGGGGCTTACTTGACTGATGGAACTGTCATATCCTATCTGTAATACACAACACAGGGTGCCAACCACCCTTTGCACTCGCTAACTCATATGAAAAATAATTACATTTTCACACGCGCGAACATATGAACAAATGTTATAAAGTAATGTCGGCTTGTCAACTTGTCGACTGAAGTGGGCGACGACATTGTTCTATCCCATACGGATACGTCTCTTTCTCATATGTCTACACTCACAATATGCACTTTGCTATCTGAATATAACAGGCTTTGTAGATAACAATACAAATGATGTGTGAAAGAACAACGGATGTGTGAAAGACCAATGATTTGTGAAAGAACAACTAATGTGTGAAAGAACAACTGATGTATAAAAGAACAAAAGAACAACTGATGTGTGAAAGAACAATGATATGTGAAAGAACAATGATGTGTGAAAGAACAACTGATGTGTGAAAGAACAATGAAGTGTGAAAGACCAATGATGTGTGAAAGAACAACTGATGTGTGGAAAATGAATGTGTACAAGGGCCAAACGTAACACGGGTCTGCGTGTTCAGTTTGATCCTTGAAAAAAAAAAGTTTCGCTCTTTCGTTGAGTAGATCGGTTTATCGCAAAAGACATTCGGACAAGTCACGTCAGCTTGTCAACTGACGAGGGCGATCGCACTAATGTGTTCCATACACATACAGCCATGTGTCTCTCAGAACAGCGGCTTATCGCACACAGAAATGTCGGCTTGTCAACTGATATGGGCGATCACATTGAGCTATGACACACAGCCCATCCCCTCCCCATTCCCTCTGTCTCTCTCGCTCTTTCTCACTCTTTTTTTTATCTCTTTTTCTCTCTTTCTCTCCTCTCTCTCTCTCTCTCTCTCTCCTCTCTCTCTCTCTCTCTCTCTCTCTCTCTCTCTCCTCTCTCTCTCTCTCTCTCTCTCTCTCTCTCTCTCTCTCTCTCTCTCTCTCTCTCTCTCTCTCAGTAGAGTTATCTTATCGTATACACAGATTTTCGCACAAGATCAGAAACTCCACAACCTAAGGGACGTATCTCGAGGGTCTCCAAACAACCGACACCCGCAGATTGTCTTCGTACACATTTGTATCACAAGTAGCTGTAGCAGAGATTTCTTTTCTCTCCAGACTTACACTGCAAACGAGAACTAGAAGTTCACTTGTTAAGAGGCCATTAGGAAGTAGCCAAATCATTATTGATAGAATGACCCGCCATATAGACTAAAATTTAAAGACTTAAGTGGGAAAGAGGATCGACTTCATTGCACTGGGTTTTATCCCATGTGGCTCGGTCTCTCTTATCAGAACGTGCAGCCGCCAGCCGAGGGCGTCACTCAAATTACCAAGTCCGCAGCTCCGTTGTACTTGTGAATTCAACGACACCGCTGTGAAACGAACTCACGACCCACATAGCTCAAGGCAAACGGCTTGACCACCATGCCACGGAACCATGCCATCCAATAGAGACTAGCTGAGACTAATCCTAAGTTAGTCATGTTTTCTGCACGGGTTTTATGAGTTTTACTCTCAATAGTAATATTTTCTGTACGTGAAATAAATTTGTAATTATATCTACCTGTCAACAGTGACAAGGACAGCACTGACTAGTTGCTAAAAAAAAGTGGTTAAAAAAAAAAAAGAGTGGCTGCAGTCAAGCTATATCCAAAAAAATTAATCCAGTGAACTGTGACTAAAAAGCTTAACGAAATAGGGAAGCAGAACAACGTGCATAAAAAAAGTAAGTAACGTAAAGGACCCTTCTCCACGCCCTTAGGCGTATAGGGCATATAGGGCTAGACCTATATTTTATAGACCAACGGCACAAGATGGGTGATGTAGTCAGCATTACGCCTGCCGCCTTTACTTCCCGGGACTGCACCCGGTACCCACTCAAGGCTGGGTCGACCTGGGAGCCAAGGTAATTTTTTGAAGAAAAGTTCTACTGCGCCAGGGAGCGAACCCTTCCGATCCGCGGCGCGCGTTTAGCCGCTCCGCCACGGCAACTCCCGAACAACGTGCATAAAGTAACACTAATAGACGTTTCAGCCGGGGCCTTTCTCGATATGAACAAAACTACACTGTTTATTTATAGGAATGATGTATAGACACCGGAACCTACCAATCAAATACCTTAAATGTTTGTGTATTCTAGACAAAGCAATAAGGTCTTAGTGTTCGTAAATTGTTGCTGTGATTGTTATTCGACATTTGCTTCGTTAATATAAATTTCTGTAACCTATTGTGCCATTTCAATGGGTTCAAATGAATTATGTCCGTATTCCATAGTTGTGGATTTCAAGCTGTACGATAGACATGGCCAATAAGACACTTTGAGGGGGGGGGGGGGAATGCCTAGTTGGCCATGTTCTTAGTGCACTTGCATTCATGGCGAGGCGCAGACGCTGTCGGGAGGAGACAGGCTCAGTTCTCGGTACGGTAACTATAGCTTTCGATTGTTATGTTGTCTAGTGTGTTCTTCTATCTTTCTACTTCTTTCTATGAGTGCCGATCAATACGCTTTCTGTTACTCAATTAATTCACAACAAAACAAAGGGTAGAGTACTCAAACCACCAGCGACCACCAGGGGGTCTCATGGGAAACTATTTTGAAAAAGTAAAGGAAGGCTGAAACAAATAGTAACAAAAGTAAAAGTAATTAAAAAAATAAAAAGTAGGAATAAAAGAGTAGTAGAAATACAAATGTAAATGATCCATGATTGGTACTGATAAGAGATACAATAAAATAAGAATAGAAAATAAAATAAAATAAAAGGAGCAGAAAAACAATAATATAAAAAAATATATAAAAAATAATGTGAAAGTAGTAACACTGTGACTAGGTACTAACTTGGAAGAATCAACAGCTGTATGCCAATGCTGACTCGCCTTCTCTCGCCCCCAGACAGGCCTCGAAGCGCTGCATCCCCAACTTTAGTGTCGGCTCGGTGCTTCAACCCCAGCTCTGAGATCACGTTTTCTACCTGCACGGACATCAAAGTTCAAGTCGAGAGCATGACTTCATTGCAACGTCTGTCTGTCTGTATGTCTGTCTGTTTCTCTGCAGAATGGCTAGCTGCCTGCTAAGGGTACAAAGTACAAACTCCTTAGCTTCAGTGACGATCCCATTGATCTCCGTAAAAACTGAAACAGTGAACGGACTCAGGGCGCGAGGCAAACGGTTTGACCCACAAACGGAGACCCACAAGGACAATGAGGAGTGAGTGTGGATGTGTGCTCTAAAATTTGTTATTACTGATAATTTTGTACAAAGCATAACATCGCCGTACAGACACATCCTTATTAGGAAGAACAGACATGTTTTCTTTTTTTTTAGCTCTGTATCAATTTCTTTCTTTCTGTCGTTCTTTTTCTCCCCCTTCTCCACTCATTCTCTCTCTCTCTCTCTCTCTCTCTCTCTCTCTCTCTCTCTCTCTCTCTCGCTAACTCTATCTCTCTGTTTCACCCCTTACTGTCATTTGTCACCTTATTTCTACTGTACCAATCACTTTCTATATGATTTTCTCCCCCCCCCTCCTTCTTCAGTCATCCTCTCTCTCTCTCTCTCTCTCTCTCTCTCTCTCTCTCTCCTCTCTCTCTCTGTTTCACCCCTTATTGTCATTTGTCACCTTTTTGCCCTTCTGCTCTTTCTCTCTTTCTCTCAATATATATATATATATATATATATTATATATATATATATATATATATATATATATATATATATATATATATATATATATATATAGCAATTCTCACATATATTCTCCCCATTTCTTATTTTCCTTTCTTTCTCTTTCTCTCGCCTTATCCTCCCATAATGTCCCTTCCTTTCTCTCTGTCTCCCTCTCTGTCTCTCTCTCTGTGTCTCTGTCTCTCTCTCTCCTCTCTCTCTCTCTCTCTCTCTCTCTCTCTCTGAATTTATATACAAGGCCAAACAATAATCTTTTAGTCTCTAAAGCTGGGGTATACACCCGGGGTATGCAGTCTATTTAGTGAACAATCAGTTGGTGTCAAGACTTATGTTCCCCCTTGTATATGAATGGCAACAAAATACGGACGGGATTACTTGACACAAAATTGGTAACTTTCTGGTAAAGTGCCTCAAACAACATTGTTCCGTGTTACGTATCCTATTATCACAAAACATTAAGATAACGTTAAATATTTTTATAGCTTAATAAAACGATCTCATCCGAATTATGTAAAAAGTACACTTAAAATATATTACACATGACACTTATAATCTATAATCCTATAATTTATTATAATTTACTCCTAACGGTATATTAAATAGCCAAAAATGTTAGAGAAACTGAAATATACAAAATCAAAAAGGATATTGAAGATAGCACCTTAAACAGTTTAACAGAATATTCAAGATATCACCGTAAACAGTTTAATAGAATATTCAAGATAGCACCGTAAACAGTCTAACAGAATATTCAAGATATCACCTTAAACAGTTCAACAAAATATAGCTGACCAAAATACTATTACATTACCCACCCGTTTTTTAATAATAACTGAGGTGAAAGTTCTAGGCAGCTTCAGTTGAGCAACAAACATCAGAGTCTCTCTGACCGTGAGGGAGCCGATGAGCCGATCATCTTGTCGGACATAGCCCGAGCACATCTCCAGACGTGACCTTGTGCGAAGAAACTTGTTGAGGTACACCTCCCCTGTGATAGTTCCGGCAGACGTCCGACATGATATAACGTCTAAGAGCGACGTTTTGCCGCTCCCTGTTAAAATAAATATTGAAACAGAATCATTCTAACATTTCAGTACCCTGATTACTTATTTAAAAATCGACATGATAGTACACCGGGAAAACCCATAGATGCTCCGTGTATGGTCTTCAGAACATCTCCCTTGTTCAGTACGAGCGTTCCCGTAGCTGTCGCTTTTGTAGCTTTTGGTTATTCCCGTTAACTCCTGCATATCACGGACATTATATCCACGTGATTCCATGCAGTACTGACGTACTGATGCTTGGTATCCACTCATGCCACATTAGTCCATTTTGAACCTTCCTCAGTGACGACTAAGAATAAGATACAATAATTCCTCTGGTAACTTTGTTTTAGTACACTTTTTTCTTCAGAAACAAAAAAATTCTGTTTTATCTGTCAAAATGAAGGAATTCCAGAGAAATTTGACTAAAAAGCTCAACAAAATGGGAAAGCAGAACAATTTGCACAAAACAACACTGTCACGAGACGACCTCAGTGGTTTCAGAAGTTAAGTACTTGTAATAAGTTTTTCTCGTTCTAAGACACATAGACTATGCCCTTAAAACAAATGTTACTTTAAACCGCACGGATTTAATTGTTACCAGTCCATCTCCGAGACAAAACCACTGCGCTTGGTTTCAAATTACATAACACTACATAATACAGCCCGCTGGTTCAGACTAGTGGATGTTATGTTTGATTCTCATGCCAGTGTCAGAATGTTATCTCCTGACCACAGACTGTAGAGGCCAGCGAAAGGGGAACTAATTAGCACACCTGAGATTAGCTCCCCTGAACACGACCGTAGTGTCATAAAGGTTACCTAACACAAACTGAGTAGACTCTAGACATTGTAGCGACGAGAGGTTGAAGTTTAACACGTCAGTGTAATTCTCGGGAGAACAGGTGTCTGCCAATTAAGTTGTCCAAACATCGGTCAAGGCCGTTCACCTTGAGTGACAGGCCACTTGTTAGCTAATTTGATCTGATAGGTACTTCAGAGGCGTGGCTTAAGTCATCGTCTTGAGGGTTGGGTAGAACCAAGTAAAGGGAGGAGTTTAATTTGGACAGTAGATTGATACTTATACTGCGAGCATTGTAGATTTACCTCATAGTGCCGCCAGCAGGCCACAGACTCAGACCTACCGTAGAAAAGTATTTTCTCACTGGTTGAGTCGTGTTTGGCATTTGCTGGAAAGTTCCCAGGTATGAGAAAATATTAATTTTAATCTTGTATATATAGGTTAGGGAGTTAAGCTTAGTCTATACTACCTTTTCCTAATTTGTCTGCACATTCTGCTTGAAATAGTTCTTTGTGAGTATTCGGTATCTCAGTTAGGGAACTGCTAAACTATTCCTATTTCTTGTATGTTTGTGTCACATGTTTTTCAGTGTATGTTTTCATGTGTATAAAATAAGATGTGAACAATGACATTTGCTATAATGAAATGTAATTATATTGTTTCCATGATCAACCCAAAACATGTGCTATGACTGTGGGAAATCATGCCCATATGCGCAGAGTTTTAATAGCTCACCATGTGCACTGGAAAGACAAGATTCCAGACACCATGCACATATAACATGGTTGGAGTTTTCAGCACATAACCTGCTCCACGTGTTGATGTAAAAACAATGTTTTGAAGTCTGAGTGAAGACGGACAACAGACTTAGAAAGTCAACTATCATGACATAGCATGAGAGGGAAGGCAGGATATGTGACGTCCATGTGAGACAAAAGACCTTCAGACTAGACTGGAGAGAATGTGGAATATGAGGAGGAGTGATGGGATATATTTGATTATTATATGTTATATTAATTGATACATGTATTCTTAGTGTAAGTCAAGATACTACACATATGTGTTTGTGTTCCATGATTACAGCGCCCATGTGACGATCAGTCCATGAACGAGACTACATTGTGTTAGACTCGGCCAGCTGGGAACGATGTGGGGATGAAGTGGAGACTAAGCTGAAACAGGCGGAAAACAAGCAGGGAAGAAGCTAGAAGAGGAGGAAGAGCTTGAAAGTGCTCACGGCTGTCAGAGGTTCTATGATAACTAAGTTATGTCATAGATTGTTCATACGTTATCACCTTCATCACTCCATTCTAATCCCAGGTGCTGTTTTCTCGCTGAAGCTTATCACTATCATCAAATTAACCAGTCACTGTTTGTACAAATCAACAAACTGGGAATTTAATTGTTAGTAAATAAAGCTGTATGTCAAGTTTTATACTACAGTGTTTGTTAAATTCCAAGTGTATTCAGTCTTACCTGTTTAACTAAACTGATAGATAGAATTACATTTGGTGGGGGCTCAAATAATATGATAATAATTCTTTAATTATTAATAATAATAACGGGAGAAGGTACGACGGAAGGAATCATTTGCCCTGTCTAATAATTCATTCAGCATAATGATATAGACATCTAAAATTCCTTTCCTTCTCTTGTGGGTACCAAGTGCAGCTAATGTTAATGTACTTAACGAGCCAATATGGCTGTTTTCTTGGATATCCAGGAATTTGTGTGAGAGCAACATAGCTCGGATTTTAGTTCCGTTTATCTGGTGGAGGAAATGTGTTGAGAGGAAAATCCCTACTCAACTTGTAAACCATTAAATCCACCGCGTCACGACAAACACAACGTAACGTTTCGGAGAGGGGAGTATGTAGATCTCTAAAGGGTGACGTGAGCGACGTTTAAAAAAACATGTATAAAATAAAACAAACGATGGCTAAAAAATATAGTCACCAAAAAAAATAACAGTAGTATTTTTAATATATAATATAATACTGGGAATACAAGAAATACAAATGTTAATGATACATAAATGATACTGATAAGAAATAGAATACGGCCAGTTCACGAATGCCTGGGAGGAAGTGCTACGGAGGAAGTGTTGTGTTTGACGCTTTCGGCTGACAGCTAGCTGTACTGTAGAAAGAGACTGAGCCACATCGGATAAAACCTGGTGCGATGAAATCGATCCTCTCATCTTACCACTGCAAGCTGTGGAAATAGGATCCTTATATTTTATGTATATCTTCTATGACTTGGTGCATAGAAAAATGCAATAGTATGGACATGTATCAAGAGCTACCGCCCTCTCAAAAACAATACTGCAGGGCTCAGTAGAGAGAAAGAAGAGAAGAGGCAGACCAAGAAAGACCTGGTTACAGAACCTGACTGACTGGACAGGCCTCAGGCATGCAACCATGAAGTCCATCGCAACTGACGGCCAAAGGTGGAGAGAGATGATCAGACATTCAACAGAAACTGGTGACCCAACGACACGTAGTGTTACGGGATAATGACGATGATGACAACTGGATATTCAATGTCTCACCTGATCCTCCCATGATGGCCATTAGTTGGCCGCTCTTGGCCGTGAAGCTGATATCTTGTAGGACATGGTTGATTCGTCCTTTCTCCATCCACTCCCAGGGCATCTGAAAAATGTAACGTATTCGGCTATGTGGAATGACCAACTGTCATTGAAACATCAACCATGCAAAAAAGGGTGAGGGTTGGTGGTGGAGCAATTGGCGGGGGGGGGGGGGGTTTGGGTTGAGGGGGTGAGAATGGGGGCCCCTTGGCGTAGCGGCTAAACGCCCGCCTGCATACCAGAAGATCACCGGTTCAGGTCTTGACAGAGCCGAATTTCTTGTGTAAATGACTTTGGCTTCCAGGTCAATTTAGCCTTAAGTGGGTACCAGGTACAGTCCTGGGAAGTAAAAACGACCGGCGTGGTCCTGGTCACATCACCTGCTGATGTATCAAATATATGTCTAACCCTCTATGCCCAATACGTCTGAGGGCGGGGAAAAGGGTCCGTTTTTTTTTTTTTTTTTTTTACAGATTTACATGGGGTAATGTGCTACACCGAGAGCCGCCGTAATGTAGCGGCTAGACGCTTGCCTGCGGATCTGAAGGTCGTGGGTTCAGTTCCTAGGGATGCATGACTCTTTTTAAAATGATATTCCCTCCCAGGTCGAACCAGTCTAAAATGAGTACCAGACGAAATTCTGACAAGTAAAGGCGGCCGGCGTGATGTAAACCATATTATCCACCAAAACCCTAATAGTCTAAAACGTTTTAGGTATGGCCCTATATGCCCAAAACACCTAAATGGGTTGGAAATGGTCTTTCACCATTTTTTGTGTGTTATATCATATACTAATGTGTTTTAATGGCATCATGTTCTTTTAGTCTACACAAGTGTTTCCCCGTGTTCTGTTAGTCAAAACCAGTGTTTCCCCATGCTCTGTTAGTCTACGCTTGTGTTTTCCCATGTTCTTTTAGTCTACACCAGTGTTTCCCCATTTTCTGTTGGACTACACCAATGTTTCCCTATTTTCTATTGGACGACATCGATGTTTCCCAAATGTTCTGTTAGTATACACCAATGTTTCCCCATGTTCTATAAGTCTGCACCAGTGGTTCGCCATGTTCTGTTAGTCTACAGTGTTTTACCATGTTCTGTTAGTCTACGCTAGTGTTTTCCCATATTCTTTTAGTCTAAACCAGTGTTTTCCCATGCTCTGTTAGTCTACACCAGTGTTTTCCCATATTCTTTTAGTCTACACCAGTGTTTCCCCATGTTCTGTTAGTCTACACCAATGTTTCCCAAATGTTCTGTTAGTCTACGATAGTGTTTTCCCTAATTCTTTTAGTCTAAACCAGTGTTTCCCTATGTTCTGTTAGTCTACACCAGTGTTTCCCCATGTTCTGTTAGTCTACACCAGTGTTTCCCCATGTTCTGTTTGTCTACACCAGTGTTTCCCCATGTTCTGTTGGTCTACACCAATGTTTCCCAAATGTTCTGTTAGTCTGCACCAATGTTTCCCCATGTTCTGTTAGTCTACGCTAGTGTTTTCCCATATTCTATTAGTCTTCATCTGTGTTTCCCATGTTCTGTTGGTCTACACCAGTGTTTCCCCATGTTCTGTTAGTCTACACCAGTGTTTCCCTATGTTCTTTTAGTTTAAACCAGTGTTTCCCCATGCTCTGTTAGTCTACACCAATGTTTCCCCATGTTCTGTTAGTCTACACCAGAGTTTCCCCATGTTCTGTTAGTCTAAACCAGTGTTTCCCCATGTTCTATTAGTCTAAACCAGTGTTTCCCCATGTTCTTTTAGTCTACACCAGTGTTTTCCCATGTTCTATTTATCTACACCAATGTTTCCCCATGTTCTATTAGTCTACACCAGTGTTTCCCCATGTTCTGTTAGTCTACACTAGTGTTTCCCCATGTTCTGTTAGTCTACACCAATGTTTCCCAAATGTTCTGTTAGTCTGCACCAATGTTTCCCCATGTTCTGTTAGTCTACACTAGTGTTTCCCCATGTTCTGTTAGTCTACACCAATGTTTCCCTATGTTCTGTTAGTCTACATCAATGTTTCCCTATGTTCTGTTAGTCTACACCAATGTTTCCCTATGTTCTGTTAGTCTACATCAATGTTTCCCTATGTTCTGTTAGTCTACACCAATGTTTCCCTATGTTCTGTTAGTCTACACCAATGTTTCCCAAATTTTCTGTTAGTCTGCACCAATGTTTCCCCATGTTCTGTTAGTCTACACCAGTGTTTCCCCATGTTCTGTTAGTCTACACCAGTGTTTCCCCATGTTCTGTTAGTCTACACCAATGTTTCCCCATGTTCTGTTAGTCTACACCAGTGTTTCCCCATGTTCTGTTAGTCTACACCAGTGTTTCCCTCCCCCATGTTCCTGTTAGTCTACACCAGTGTTTCCCCCATGTTCTGTTAGTCTACACCAGTGTTTCCCCATGTTCTGTTAGTCTACACCAATGTTTCCCCATGTTCTGTTAGTCTACACCAATGTTTCCCCATGTTCTGTTAGTCTACACCAATGTTTCCCCATGTTCTGTTAGTCTACACCAATGTTTCCCCATGTTCTGTTAGTCTACACCAATGTTTCCCCATGTTCTGTTAGTCTACACCAATGTTTCCCCATGTTCTGTTGGACTACACCAGTAGTTACACTCTACATAACAACAGAACTGTCCACATTGCAAATGTATCAGAAAGTACAAGTGTGTAATACACACTCCATAGCTTTGAGAAGTATGCCATACTTCAATTGTGCCTCTTCTAACTTATTAAACATTTACACCCATTTTGCTGCCATAGAAATCATGTTTTCCCGTCTCTTTGGTTTGTTTTAATCTGTATGTTATAATCTATTTTGCACATTGCTCTTGATCAAATAGTTTTGCCTTGCCCACTGAGCTATAAAGGATACTTACTAGCTTTCACTATTTTATCAGTGAATAGAGGGATAGAGGAAGTTCTAATGTGTTTCAGATGAATTGAAGAAAAAGCCACCTAAGTGTTTTAGCTCCGCCATAGTTAGTTTTCCACGTGTTAAGGTATTTCTGACTGGTATTATAGAAAACAGTCGGCTCTGTGGCTAAGTCGATGCGAACGCTTCGTAATGCCTGGATTCCGGGTTCGATCCCCGCTGCGGGTCATGCGCCTTGCGTTGGTTTCGACAGTGGTATCAAGAAAGCTGACCGTCCAAGAAGCGATGGCAAACTATAGGACGTAAATTTGCCTAGTGAAACCACACAACAGCCAGGGGGTGTTGGGGTTGGTTCTGCAACGTCCTGTAAAGGGTACGCAACTAACCTTATTATAGAAAACATTAGCCACGTCAAACAATGCTTCTCTTTTAATTATCGCTAGAATATTCCCAAGGGTAAGAAGGTTTTAAATTTGTACTGTGATAATGTGTTGTTCTTGCATTCATTTTAACTTCTTTAATAACCAAAAATTAGGCAGAGGCGCAGATAGATCATTACGGTCTAAGAAGAATGGCGCTCTGAGAAGTTACCAGGGGATCTGGCCG